TTTGATTATTAGTAATTGTAATCGTGACACGTTTTAAATAGAACATTATTACCCTTTTCGTGAGAGTGAAACATGTTTTTATTATTTAATTATTAGTAATTGTAATCGTGACACGTTTTAAATAGAAACATTATTACCCCTTTTCGTGAGACTGAAACATGTTTTTATTATTTGATTATTAGTAATTGTAATCGTGACACGTTTTAAATAGGAACATTATTACCCCTTTTCGTGAGAGTGAAACATGTTTTTATTATTTAATTATTAGTAATTGTAATTGTGACACGTTTTAAATTGAAACATTATAACCCCTTTTCGTGGAGGTGAAACATGTTTTTATTATTAAATTATCAGTTTATTTGATTTGTAAAAGATTAGTGTGGGATCACTGCATATTTTAATTTAAAATAAACAATGGTGTTTTGGTATTTAGTCGGAATTAGCGATTTATCCGCCAAGTAGGAAAATGATTTTGTTTTTGAGAAAAAATTTCAAATGCGCAAATGGTGACCCTCAGAGGAGGTATATCGTATGAACGCAAGGGTAATTCGAAACTGACTTAAAAAAATAAACAGATTAGTGTAAAATAAAATAGGAAAACAATACCATGTTAGAATAATGTACAACTTCTAGTTGAAAAAATTAAGACGGTAGCAAATACACGTTTCTTCGTCTTTTGCTTCTACGGGTTGTAGGGTACATGGTATACTAATTGGTTAATAAGCCTGTCAATTAATCGATTAGCAAATACCACTAATACCCACCTATAACCAAGACAAGTTATTAAACCTTTAAAAATAGCCAAAATGGCGATAATAAAATATGAGAAAGATAATGGCAATAATTAGGCTAAAACAAAGACTAACAACACTGGTAAGTATGACAATTTAAGTAACAATAACTATTGCGATTGTTCACTGTGTAAGGAATTAATTGACCTAACGTTTGTGATAAAACAGCTTTCGGCCTGTTTATACAGTTTGGGTTAACTACAGGCCGTGCTATTCTGTAAAATTGTTAATCCTATGATCGGTAAAAAGAAAATTATTCAATTATCCGCAATACTGAATAAATCTGCTGTTCAAAATAACATAGGAGAAACCTTGTTTGTAAAAATGAGCATGAGTTTATGAGCTCTGTCCACGAAATCTTGTAATGTTGAACAAATTCCATTGTAATTGTGACTTGTAACATTGTAGCATGTATTTGAAATATTTGTATTAGGAATGGACAGTTTATATGAGCAAATCTGAAATTCAAAATTTTGAACGTTTGAATAGCTATATTTATCTAAATCCATTTGATAAAATATTTTTGTTTGTGTTTGTGAAATTAGAACATGTCTGAAATGCTTGGAGATGAGTAATCTTTGGTTCAGTAGCCTAGTGGTTAGGGTGCTTGACTCACAATCTGCGGGTCGCGGGATCGAAACCTATCCCCTAACATGCTCGGCCTATCAGCTGCGGGGGTGATATAATGTGACGGTCGGTCCCATTTTTCGTTGAAAAAAGTAGCCGACGAGTTGGCGGTGGATAGTGTTGGTTAGTTCCATTCCTTCTAGCTTATCAATTACAAAGTAAGGACGGCTAGCTCAGATAGTTCTCGAGTAGCTTTGAGTGAAATTCAACAAAGCAAACATACAAAGACTTCTATAATCTTCATACTTAGATAGCAGAATTAATAACCTGGATAAAAGACAATAGGAAAAAAAAACTATCGTTGATCGGATGTTGCATATACATACTAACGGAAATTTCTATGAATATTTTATCAAAAAATTATAATTGCATATGAAATCCAATATATATGACTTAACTTGGCTATTATAGCTTAATTATAATTTATTTTCATTACTAGGTTGTGTGTATACAACGAATAGAACGGAATGATAATAATGATAAATTACCAATCTAATGCTGATGGTTAGCTCACTGAACTGTGCAGCCGAGGGTTCACTGCTCGCGTCCCGTTGACGAAAATAAAATTGCGCTCTACACGTTGGAACCATAAGTGCGTTAAAAGGTGTTGGTCAAAATACACTATTTGATTAAAGTAGCTTAAGCGTTGGCGGCATGTGCTGTTGATTAGCTGACTTGCTGCTTTTTCTTGAGACTGTCAGTTGAAAATTAGAGACCGTTACTAGCGTTGATAGTTTTTGTTTAGCTTCGCATGAATATCCGAAACAAACAAACAAAAAATAATATTAGCTGTCTATGCAAACGAATATATCATAGAAGAATGAACGTATTAAGATTTAACAGAAAATAATTTTACAAATATATTTTAGTCATTATATCTAGTTTGTAAGAAGAAAAAGATCAAATATAAATGCTATTATATATAGTCATTTACGTTACTTTCAGTAGTTTAGCATATTCTTCAATTTTTGAATTTTCAAACTTATTCTTTATACGAAGCTACTTCATTACAGTTTCCTCGATTAATCGGTTTGCATTAATATGCAATTTTAGTATAGTGTGGTTATGTGTAATTAATAACTCAGAGTAACTTTTTTGGCAGTACTTTTTGGTTTGTGAATCTGAACATTTTTCACTGTGTTAAGCACCAGCGAATCCTTTCTCATCATTATGCTATTTAGAGAGTTGAAACTAATTATTTGACACTTACTTGTAAGCTGATTTCGGTATGTAAATAGTTTTAAATTATGAGGATGATAGAATATGTGTATTTAATAATTATATATTATTTTAGTCCACCGTGAAAACATCATTTACTTAAAACTAACGGTATTCTGTTTTTATTTCGTAAGTATATATGATAACAAATAATGTGTTGTTTTATACCTAATTCTCTATAAACCTGAAATGTAAATGACATAAACAAAATTAATAATAATTACAAGTAATCCAACCGGCCTGATGAGCCTTAGTATTAAGCGAAAAGCCACGTCGACATAGCTTTAATAAATGTAGCTTGGTGTACATATTAGACATATTCTCCTCGGATTCTTAGAATAAATTAATACACAAGATCGGAGGTACTTATAAAAGATGTTATATGCATCATACTTCTTTTATAGTAAATTATTTTTATTGTAAACTAGAAAATATAAAACTAAAATGGATCAGAAAACCACTAAATCACGTGTGTTACATTTATCTGATGAGTGTTGTTTGGGCTTGTTAGTTTTCCCGGAAATGGTAGTGCTTACGTAAATTGTAGCCTCTACTGTCTTTTCCTTCTTTTTTGGCGATGCACTGTCGACTTGTTTGAAGTGCATATAAATATACCCAGAAATTACCTTTAGGTAGCTCTTTGTGTCGGTTATATGGGGAAAAATATAAGATTCAGGTGAGTGTTGATGTAATTAATATAGAAAAACAACAACAAAAAACACTCATATTAGAAAAAACAAGAAAAATGCACGTACGCATTTCCTTCAAATCTGCCTCAATGTTTTATTTGAGCGAGAATTCTTGGTGTCTTTGCTGAATAACGTGAACGATAGAGAAAAGCAAACTGTACTACGTCTCCATAATCGATTTTTATCCATTTCTTCTGAAGTCAAGGAAGATTAATTATCCATTTCTTCTATGTATTTTTTATAAGTATTTATGGAGTGTTACTTAGGTTCAGTGTTACACTTTTTATTGTATAACTTTTCTTTTGGAATATATCCAACGAGTGTTACGGTGATATTATTATGTCTGCCATTTGTAAATTCTTACTAAATGCATTTTTTTCGTTCTTGTACGAGAACCGTAACATGTATATATATTTGTGTTGTTGACTAGTGTGAAAAACAACATCTGTAAGAGAAAAAAAAAAAGTGGATAACTCTGAAAAAATGTTGAATCATTTTCATATTTGATTTTAAAGTCGTTTATTTCGCGAGTTGATTATAAAAATAAGCATATACTTTAAAATATGAACCATCAGTTGTTTACTACCTATAACATTTTTGTTATGTTTCAGAAATATTTTGATTTCTTGCAGTTGAAAAAATGTTGGTGGTAAATTCTACTGGGAGTAACGCTACACCCACTTCATCTTCCACTCCCAGATCTGAACCCAGACGTTCTGTACGTAGTAGTGTTCCATTGGTAGACCTTAGGTGAGTGGTGTGTTATTGTAATAAAGATATCATTAAGTTGTTCATATTGTACTTTATATCTTTATTAGTCACTTATGACAAGTCTTATTGGTGTTACCACTATCTTTATCTTAGAAACATACTCGGTTATATAGGGATGAAAAACTGTAAGATTGTACAATTAATATCTATAATAATTAGGCATCTTTATCAAGAAGTTTACAGGATAACGAATACTTTGTTATTAAAAAATAATAATTTATTGGTAAATGTAGCTGTATGTATGTATGTATATATTAAACATGTAACACATTGGAGAAAACGTTCGTTTAAACGAACTAGTTGAGCGGATGAAAGTGTGACAAACAGGAAATCAATTCATAGAATCACGCGTTTTAGAAGGGCAGTACTCTTGCATATAGATATCTATTCAGTCTGTTACCATACTTAAAAAATATTATAGATAAAAGCATTTGATTAGATATTTAGTAGGAGTTCTCAAAGTTGGTAAAGCATTTGTTTAGATTACTTCAGGGGATGAAAGTTATCAGTGAAAGTAGAAATATATATATCAACTTTCAAATTTAATTATAACCTGATAAAGTGCATTTTACTATTACAACTACCTGTAGGATAATGTTCCACAAGCATAATTTTTCTAATTTTTTGTAAATGATTTAAATATAAATATTTCAACATTGAAAATCAAACAATACATTTTAGAGAAAGTAATTCTTTTCACGTATGTAACACAGGATTCTACAGTGGGACAGCGGTAAGTCTTCAGGTTTACAATGTTAAAATCAAGGGTTCGATTCCCCTCCGTGAACACAGCAGATAGCTGATGTGGCTTTGCTATAAGAAAACACACACACATACAACTCAGGAGAATAACTTTTAAAATGCTGCAAGTTTAAAATGTCATCATTATGCACCAAATCGATAATAATGAAAAACATTAAGTTGAAACTGAAAATAATGAAATAAATACACTGTTTTAGCATGTTTTATATGCATTACCAACATTAGTATAAATTATGTAATTAAGTAAAAACTATGTTTAATATTTTGTCCTGAAATGGCTGGTTCAGTGAAAGAGTATTAAATGTGAATTTCATGTAGCAGCTTCAGTGAAAGAGTATTAAATGTGAATTTCATGTAGCACCTTCAGTGAAAGAGTATTAAATGTGAATTTCATGTAGCACTACAATATGTGTAGTGCTACATGAAATTCACATATAGCACTACAATATGTGTATGTACTTTTTCCTTGGGCTAAAACTAATTATTGGATTTAGATTAACTTTCTCTAAGGAGGAAGAGATTGCAAAACAAATTTAATTATATGTATAATTTGCAAGTACAACTCACTGAAGGTGTGTCTATAGAAGCATACATTCTTTGTTGTACTATGTCAGCTATAATTGTTTGTTTTAAGGTACCACTTATCTTAAAAACATACTCGATTACATAAAACAAACAGTAAGATTATACCTCTCATATTTATAATAATTAGATATTTTTAACTAGAAACTTGCAAAATAACGAATAATGTGTTATTAGAAAATAATATATGCAATTTCTTTGTTGGTGCAACTGTCTATTAGAAACATAAACCGTACAGTGTCTTTATACCATAATCGATTGCTAACCATTTTTTTAGCACTGCAGGTCCTTTGAATTCAAGGAAAGTGACCTGTCCTGTCTTCTACTTTATTTCACAAGTACTTGTTGATAGATACACTATGATGATTTCTCTATTTGCCTAGTTTCATATCAAGTGTCACCTAGGCTGTTATTTTTACACATCACTGTAGGATTTCACAGAAGAAACATGTACATATTTGAATTTAAGTTTATTCTTTTGTGAATGTATATTCTACTGCTTGTTTTAATTGGTGTCTATGTTTTGTCATGTTATTTTGTTCTTAGAATATATTCAGTGAGTGTGACTGGGGTTTATGTATTTTGCCATCCTTTATCTGTTCTTATTAAACAGAGTAGTAAAGGAGATGAAACTTATTTACAATTAAAATGAATACAACGTTAAAATCGTTACACAATAAATATTTATTAAAAACAGGGACTTGCCCTAAAAAAGACTACATATGTTTAGGTGTCGTATGACACCATCATCAAGTGTAATGGTAAATGCATGGTTGGGACATATATACCCACATAATCATTTACATACCAATAATGCCATCTAGGCTTAAACTACCCATTTGAGAGAGTACAAATATTTCTCAACTTCCAAAATTTATTATACAGAAAAATGCATGCTACCATTTCAACTTCTTGTATGACCTAATTGGAGTAACGTTAGATATGATAGATATAGCCAAAAGTTGTTTGTCTTTGTGTGAGTAAAATATTCTTAGCTTCAGTCATTTACACAGGTTACAAAGGATATGCAGCTCAATGCAAGTTTCTTGGTAAAAAAGAACAGTACCAAATGGCATTAACACTAGAACTTTTGTCTAAATTACAAAGAAATTGAAACGCCTTTAGTTTGTAAAAGTATTTGTGCAACAACAACAATTTACATGCACAGAAGAGTTAGAATAAGTGTAAGGCAGTTGGTAAGTATATCATTTCGTAGGATCGCTTTAGTCAAAAATGAACTGCCTTCTAGCAAGATTGTGCGGAAAACGAAGAGAAAATAGAGTTGATATAAAGACAACAAATATTACACTTTTCTATTGAAAACTCGACAACTTAAGAATCAATGTAAATACACGTTTTTGAGTTTATGTGACTATTATCAACAAATTTTGATCACAAACTGAGGAACTCATATTAACACTCAATCTTATTTTCCCACTAAAGAAAAACATTATATTTCTTGGAAAAAGAATGAACTTGCTGATTATCTCATATACCTCAGTGTATGTTCCTTGTACACACTGCTGATTCACAGCTGGCATGGTAAAAATTTAGCTTTGTGTGACTAAAATATTACTAGTTTCCGATTTTTTTCTTTCCCATATTACAAAGAATATGTGACATGGTGCAAGTCATATAATATTCGATTGTTGACTCTCATATCACTACTCTATTTCAGCTTTAAATAAAGATTTTGTTGCTTGATACTGTGATGTAATATTCTTCATATTGCCACAACTTTGACATGCCACAGTAATGACATGACATATTAACAACTACAACTTTCATAAAATATGGCAGCCCCTGTAGTTCAGTTTATTGCATATATTAATCAAGATTTACTGCCCTTAAGAGTTGGTATTTTATGGTTACAAGTTACTCCATGGATTAGCTGAGAACAGCTATGGAGGCTTTATTTTTCTATTTTTACCAGTTGAAATACAGATTCTATAAGTGAGTATTGTAAGAGAAAAATAAAAAAATTCAATGTTTAGAGCCTGTGTTGTTACATTTTATACTGCAGTTTCCTTTAATCTTATCAGTTTGAGAGATCGTCCATTTTTGATCAGTAAAGTTAGACTAGCATCTTGTATACAAACTGTAACAAAAGTAGTGCCCCATTTGTGAAAGCACATCTGTTACCTTTATAGTCACAGATGTTTCAGACTTGTAAAACATTGTGGCACACTCACGTTGGTTTATAGACAGTGTATTCCAGTAGACATACAGTAGACGAAATATTCCATATGGGAAATTATTTTGCACCCGGTACTATCATTCATAGGTTTTCATATATTTTCTAATCTTTTAAATATACTTTATAAGAGTTAAGTGTAGTTTAATTTTTTAACAATCATTTGTTGGTAAACACCTCAAATAAATAGGTCAAAATTGGCAGAAAAACCACAATGTGTGCACATTGAGTTGCACTTGAAGAGGAAAAGTGACACAACAGCAACCAACATATCTGCATATCAGAAATTAATGTCATTGTAATCTCTAATGTGAGTTTAATCATGTGGGATACCATGTTTAAAGGAATGTATGCAAGTCGTTTAGCAGTTATAGAGTAACCGTAAACTATGGACGTGTAACTAGATGACCAATATTCATACTTTCTTATCAAGTGGTGGTAACCAAAAGAAGTGTAGAACTCCAACTGTCAATTGTGCAGGATTGAAGACATGTTTTGTTAGTATGACATTTCTTCAATAATTTCATTACAAAGGAGATCAGGTTTACCCATAACTTTTATTTTGATGGTTGTAGATATCTTGGCAAGATCACAATATAACTATTGACACTGCACAAAGATAGTGCAGACTGAAACAAGAGGTACATTTATGTCTTCTACCTTGGTCGTATGCAAGACTGTTAAATCTTAGTTTCTTCGAACAGTTATGGGTTATTTGAGAAAAACTTCCATATCGTTTTTCTAATCTGTAATTCCTGAAGGAATTGGAGGATAATATTATAGAAGGATAAAGTAACATGACCATTGACAACTTTCAACATCTTGGCGCTTCTCTACGGGATCATGGTTTCCCTAATATCTGTGGTAATATTATAGAAGGATAAAGTAACATGACCATTGACAACTTTCAACATCTTGGCGCTTCTCTACGGGATCATGGTTTCCCGAAGATCTGTGGTAATATTATAGAATAATAATAATGGATAATATTATAGAAGGATAAAGTAACATGACCATTGACAACTTTCAACATCTTGGCACTTCTCTACGGGATCATGGTTTCCTGAAGATCTGTGGTGACATAACACTATATAAAAGTATTTTTCACAGGCGTTTGCATCTTGCTTTCTCCAACCCCACTATATTCTTATTGTTGAATAGATGCATTCGTTTGGTTTCAAAATTACTCTTTAGACTTAATTGTAGTTTTGTGCCAGATAGACTAATAACCATAACTTGGTATGTATAATGAATTGTAATTGTTACAATTCACATAATTTTGACAAGAATTAGAAACTCGATCAGGTATTTGGTACTGATTTTATATTTATCAAACAAAATGACTTGCATCTGCTAAAGTATCTTGATCATGATTTATGTACAAATGTAAACTACAAACCATCAGAACCATTATTATTGTTTTACAAGTTCTTTATAAGCT